TAAAAATTTTTTTAAATAAATTAATTATTTAATAACATACCTTATCATATATCATATATATTTATAATATTATATAATATTATATATATAATATATTTTTTTCTTGGAGAAAGGAAAACGACAAAATCCGAAGCCCCACGTTAGAAAGAAGAGGAAAAGAGCCTCGGCCTCTCAGGCTCTGACAAAAAAACATGCCGTCACGCGCTTTCCGCTAAGGGACAAAACACGTGTCGACGTCAGTGGCAGTTTCGTGGTTTTGTACCGAAGGGTGGGGGTAGTTTGGGAATTTCGGATGGAACGCGTACGGGCAAAAGAGTCGAGACGGAACCCTTTGTCGCCACGTGCCTTGGCGTCGGCCGCACGCAGGGAACTCTTGTCTCCTTCTTTTCTTTTGTTTTTTTTTTTAATAGTGAAAATTTTCTCCAAATCAAAAGCTACCGCCAGACCTACATTTTGACTATTTCCAGAATTCGTCACATTTTCACATTTATGCTCTCTTTATTGTTTTTTTTTCCTTTTTGTGTTCTTCTAATGTGAACAACATTTCTAACGAAGTACTAACCTGTAATTATTATCTTTGAATTACAACTTTCAAACTTATGTCATGGTGCCGCCCCTGGTTTTCTTGACTTGGTAATTATAAATTATGTTATAAGTGTATTTTTAATTTAAAAGTTAAGTTTTAAATTCTTTACTTCTAAAGTTTTAAATTGTTCAAAAAAAAAAAAATATATGTCAAGGTGCCGACAACTTTTTTGTAACTTAATAGTAACTTTTTAATAAAAGAAATTTAAATTTGAGTTTTATAATATATAAATTTAGTAAGTTAAGAATTAATAGAGAATTATTTTTTATTGTGTAATTTAAAATAAAAAATCATGATTGGCAAAGTGTTTAATTAAACTTAATTATAAGCATTTGTTATGTCACAAATTTTACATATATGCAAAAGTAATGTATAATTGTAAGAAAAAAACATCAACAATAAACGAAACTTATTTATTTCTTTGAAATTCAAACACCTAAAATGTTATCTTATACTAATATTCATGATTAATCAAGTTAGTGAATGGAATGCATATCCATTTTGTGTGTTCATTAAATAAAAAAAAATAATTATAATTGTTGTCAAGTAAAAAATTAAGAGCATGGCTTTTTATATGTGTAACTAACAAAAAAAGAAAAAGGATCCTATTTCATTTTTGATAAGATTATTATTATTATTATTATTATTATTATTTTAAATTCTTCGCATCAACTTTCATAAACAAGTTGCTAAGTGCATTCAATATGTTCATAATGATTAAATTTTGAATTATAATAATGTCATGTTATTCCCTAATTCCCCTACCTTAAAATGTCCTTGTTTAAAAAAAAAAAAAATTCTTCATTATATATTCTTGCAAGAAGCCCGGATGCCATAAGTGATTCAGTACGCCCTTACTCTTAGCCCATTTATTTAATGTAGTGCATGATCTTTTAGCAATTAGCCTCATGTGTTGCGTTCTGTATCGCCACCTCACTGGCTAGTTCTTTTAGCTAATATATATATAAAGAAAAGAAAAAAAGGGACTCAGGTTCAAACACCAAACTCGTACATGTTAATCTCATGTTAATATTTGGTATTCATATATAATCTATTGTTAATTGTTAATAATTTAAGTAATTTAATGATAATTTTTTTAAAATAAAGTAAAAAATTTTAATTTAAAGTTGTAAGTACACAAAATATGAATAAAACTAAAAAGATAAGAAATATTTTATTTTTATTATGCAACACAAAATAAAATTAAAAAAATTTCTTGTTAATTAAACTCTCAAGCATCATTTATCTTTTTTTATTTTTTGGTACAAACTTTCAATTTGAATCTTGCCACCAAACACATAACAGGTTACTAACAATGAAAATCAATTAATTTACAAAATATAATAAATAAACATAATGCTGAATTTGTAAAAAATTACTCAAATTTGTATCTTAAAGATATCAATATATCACAAAAGATCATGAATTTTAATCATAAATATACAAATAAAGTAAGTAAAAAATTAAAAAAATTACTTTAATTATTCAACTCAAACTAAATAAATAAATAAAAACAATGTATCATCATTTGGCTACCATTTTTCTAACATAAAAATGGGGAAAGTAATCGCCAACAAAGAGATCTGGCAATAGCCACCTCCAAAAGTCATGGTCTCAACTTTCTCGTCCACACAGCAACATTGAGTAGAAAAAGGATGTTTGGGTGCCAATTGAGGGAATAAGATCATAACATAAAATACCTATTTTCAAAAAAGATCATAACATAAAAAACCAAAAAACCAAAAAATTAATAAACTACCCAAAATATATCACAAGATTTTTTTTAATTATGTTCAAAAAAAAGATTTTTTTTTAATTTATAAAAGAAAAATTAGTTAAATAATTTTATAAAAAATATTATAATTACAATATTATATATATGATAATATGATGTATTATAATATAATTAACTATTTTTATTAAAAATTTGTTTATAATATTATTTAAATTAAAAATATATATTAATTTAAAATTTTAAAATAAATTAAAATTTTAATTTTAAATTATGTTATTTTATTTAATTAAAATTTTAATTTAAAATTTTAAAAAATCAAAATTCAACATTTGTTTTCATTTAATATTATATATTATCCCATACATTATAACGGAGAAGTAGAAGCCGGCCCCACATAAACAGTTTTATTTCGGCCGCCCCGCTTTGTTGTCTCTCTCGGCTCCGTTCTCCTCCGTCGCTCTTTTTCTTCTCCCCCCTTTGACCCTTCAATTTCCCTCTCTCCGTTGTGTGTGTGTGTGTGTGTGTGTTTTTTTTCCCCTGTACTTTCCCTTGAACACAGTTATAGACACATATATATAACTTCGATTTTCTCTCTTCGTTATCGGTTCCATCTGCGTTTCTTCTGAATCCCTCTCTCCTCCTCGTCTCTCTTTCTCTCTCTCTCTCTCTGTTCTCCTCATTTCAGAAAGGAAGTGTCTCTTCCATCCTGTGCAGAACCCAGAACGAGGAATCAATCAGAGGCAAAGAGAGTACAAGGAAAAGACAACCCAAGAGACCAAAATAAGAGGGGTCGACCTCCTTTTTGGGTCTCATTCTCTGCTTTATATCTAGTGGGTTATCTTTCCATCGAGGTGTAAAACGATTGCTACTATCATGAGGCTGTTATCGTGAAGATTGGTTTGGTTTTTTGGATTTCCTGAGGCATTTTCTTTTTTGGGTCTTGGTTTTTGAGTCGCCATGGCTGGTAGCAATGAGGTCAACCTCAATGATTCCAAGGTATTTCAGTTTTTCTATCTCTCTTCATCAATTGGGGTTCGATTTCAGCTGGAATGATCATTTTCTTGATGGGTTTGTCTCCTTTTAAGAAAAATTTGCGCTCCTGATACCAGAATCTGGTTTTGAGGAACTTGATGTTTCTGGGTTTTTCCTTTCTGTTCTTTGACAACAATTATTTTCTTTTGAATTTTCACCTGAATATTACGCTTCTTTGGGTTAAATTTATGAGATTTCTTTATTGGTTTTGGTTTTTCTTCGATACTCTATTCTAGGAATTTGCTTTGGTGTTGGAGAAATCCAAAATTGGAGTTTTTTAGAATCATTTGGCTCAAGATTTGAATTTGAATCGTGAGTGAATGGATTTTTGAGATGTATATAGGCCCACTTTGTTTGTTTTCCTATTTTGTACTAAGTTTTACATTTCTCATCTAAGGATCATTTTCTGGTCCAAGAGTCTCTTTTGGTGCTAAATGATCAATCTTCTTTTTTTTTTTTTCTGTGAATATTTTGGTCTCTGTAATCCATGAACAAAGCTTCTAATTTTTTCAATTTATGTTATTGCAGAGGGTTGTTCCACTCAACACGTGGGTTCTCATTTCCAACTTCAAGCTAGCATACAATATTCTTCGCCGTCCCGATGGAACTTTCAACCGGGACTTGGCGGAGTTTCTTGACCGGAAAGTTCCTCCCAATATCAATCCGGTTGATGGGGTTTTCTCCTTTGATCATGTCGATCGGGCCACCAGTCTCCTCAACAGGGTTTACATGCCAGCTCCACTGAATGAGCCGCAGGGGGGGATTATAGATCCTGAAAAGCCATTAAGCACCACCGAGATCGTCCCGGTAATCATCTTTTTCCACGGTGGAAGCTTTACTCATTCCTCTGCCAACAGTGCTATCTATGACACTTTCTGCCGCCGCCTAGTCAACCTATGCAAGGCTGTTGTGGTGTCTGTGAATTACCGGCGATCACCTGAACACCCGTACCCCTGTGCCTATGATGATGGTTGGGCTGCTGTAAATTGGGTAAAGTCAAGAACTTGGCTTCATAGTGGAAAGGACTCTAAAGTACATGTTTACTTAGCCGGAGACAGTTCTGGTGGTAACATAGTTCACCATGTAGCTGTTAGAGCAGCCGAAGCACAAGTCGAGGTATTGGGGAACATCCTTCTTCATCCAATGTTCGGAGGACAGAGCAGAACAGAATCAGAGAAGAGACTAGACGGAAGATACTTTGTTACAGTACAAGATCGCGACTGGTATTGGAGAGCTTATCTTCCTGAAGGGGAGGATAGGGACCATCCGGCCTGCAACCCATTTGGCCCCCGGGGGGAAAGCATCGAAGGGCTCAAGTTCCCGAAGAGTCTAGCCGTGGTGGCCGGATTCGATCTCAGCCAAGACTGGCAATTGGCATACGTTGAAGGACTAAAGAGATCAGGTCATGAAGTGAAGCTTCTTTTCCTAGAGCAGGCCACAGTTGGTTTCTACTTCTTGCCGAATAATGACCATTTCTATTGCCTCATGGAGGAGATAAAAAACTTCGTCAATCCTAACTGTTAATACTCTACTACTTAACCTCAGCTACAGGCAGCAGCAGCATACGTAACATAAGCTTTGACAAATTCACCGGGGTTTTCTCCCCACCTTTTGCAGTGATAATGGTGTGCGTAGTTTATTTTAAGCTTTGTGTAGTGTCAAGTACTTAATACAATGAAGATTTCTAGTGGTGATGTTGGAGAATGGCGGAGATCTTCCCCTTCCCGGAGAAGGCCTCCTTCAGTGGTTCCGAGGACAGGGAGCCGTGTTCATAGCATATTAGCATTCGGATGTCAAACGCTCACCCCCGATCAACTTCCGATCGGTGGGGTGATTGATCAAATACGACGTAGGAATTGGGGTAATATATAAAGCACTTATAGATCCATTGTGCACTGATCTTGTATGGTATACTTTTGTGGTTCTAATATAAAGATTTTCTTTTTCTTGTTTTGTTTTCTTTTGTATTGCTTCGTTCTGCATTTTTTTGCTGGCAAATTGTACATTTTAATGGGAAACAGAAGAATTCCCACTACACCCTTTGTTTCCCATTAAGGATTTACATCAAAATTCCAACTGCGGAAGCCAACACCAATGCTTGAAAGTTTGATACCACATCCAAGTACATCGACCCGGAGAGGGCATAAAAAATTCCAAGCTGTGGAGGAAGAGAACAATGATTGGAGATGGTCCAAATCGTGGGCTTTCTCCATCTTTCAACATCGTTTTTGATTACTTCTTGTCATATCCGGAGGGGGTTTGTTTGGATTCTAGGAAAGTTGGGGGAAAAAATTTAAGAAAACCAGATTTGTTTGTTGTGATAAGGGCAACACAAATATGAACAATAGTGTGGTTGGGAGCTTTTGGATGCACTCTCACCCTCCCAAGGACCACCTTGAAATTCTCCCAACAAGAAATAAAATAAAACCAAAACCAGAAAAAATGGAAAACAACAAGAAGAAGAAAATGCCTAAAAAAAACACACACACACACACATTTCTTTTTTTTTCTTTTTTTTTTTTTGAGGAAAACACATTTCTTTAATCTAGACAAGTTGAAAAGGTTTCACGTCCACTAAGTGTTAGGAACAGCTAAGGTTTGATAAGGACATTGGAACCATATCTTAATTGACTTTCTATGCCTTTTTCCTCTCTATACATATATATATATATATATATATATAAATGCTTAGTATATTTCACATTCCAATTAAAAAAATTATTTTAAGGTTTTCACCCATTTCTTGCTTGGATGATTATTATTTTTTTTTTAGGGTTGTTTAGTGTCGTATTATAGACCGACCCTTTGTGGATTAGGTGTTTATGTCTCCAAAATTATTCTCTAATACAAACAGGGTGGATGGTGTGAACATAAGTGGTGGTGTTTTTATATTATATTTTATGTTTTAAAAAATCTAGATTATGGACAAAAACATTAATTTTGTTCTGATGAGTGCCTCACTGTTTTTTTGGCATTAAGTAGGTTATAATTTACTGTGTTTTTGGGTGTTTGGTCGGGGCTTTTGTGTTCACCCTGTTTCAACTTAAAAACAAATGTTGGCTTGTTTAGTGTCCTTTCCTTGACTAACTCCACAGGTTCGATTTAGACCCTAGTCGGAGAGATTACGAGCTAGGTTGACTGACTTGTATCTCGATAAGATTGTTTTAGCTATAAGTTTTATTCAGAGTTATACTCCTTTTATTTAATTTTAATAAATTTAATTTTTTATTTGAGGTGTTTATATAATTATTTTATTTTTTTAAAATATTATTTAATATTTTTATTTT